TCTCTGTAAAAATTGAATCAACAATTAATAAAGATCACAATTTGAGAAGTGCCTCGCAAAAAAAAAAAAAAAAAAATCATTTATTAATAAAAAATCCAAAATTTGACTTTTGAATAAAATACTATTGTTTGAAGTATATGGTAGTAATAGTTATAATAATGTTTAATGATTACAAAAAGAAAAATACAGTATAATGTAAATTGTCTTGTACTTACAATATATTGAACCATTGATATAAATTAGTAGATGACAAAATGCAAAAAAATTATATAAAAATCCTTAATAATAGCAATTACCATACAGTATTTAGAAAACCTTTCAAAAAGACAAAATAGTTATATATTTCAAAATAATAATTGTTCAATTTAAGCACATGTAATAAAAAATAAATAGGAGAAAAAAAAACATCATATGTCTCATATGGCCTGTCTAGAGTCCAGACCTTAATCCAATTAAACATCTCTGGAATGAATTGGAACACTGAGTTTGCCGATGCAATCCATTACCAATCCATTGTGTCATGGCTGTTAGAAATTCTAAAGGCAATTCTACAAGATATTAAATATATAATTGGCTTTATAATTTTATATAACTTTTTTCATTTATGAAAAACCTGTTCGGTTGGGGAGTATCCATTTTGACTGTCCTCGTCCGCGATTGTCTGCCTATCATAAAGTTGTTCTATCTTAAACGAAACTTTACAAATATATGCAGAATTGACGGCTGAACATTTTTACCTAGAACAACGAAGTTGGTTGTCTTAATAATATTTTGCGTAATTAACGTTCAAGGTCTGTGTAACATGTCCGCTGACAACACTGCTTGAGATTATTGTGTGACGAAATGCTTCAGAAGAAATAGTTTGCGTAATTGCTTGCGTAATTTACGTAATCTGACTGTATATCTAAGTTAATCTCAAAACTTGCACTTGTTCCTGTACCTGTACTTAACCATTATGGCAAACCTTTGGAATGAAAAATTGAACACTCGAAGTCGTGCTACATTGAATAACGTAGTTGTGCGTGAATTTCCTATTTTGCTTCAAGACAGGCAGGATTGTGTTACTTATTGTTGAAAAATAGCTATGTCCAGTGCAACGGAGGCTTCCACTTCTCCTAGTGGTCCGGTGAGGGACGTCAATTGGTACCGCCAGCTTTGGTGGAACACTGGCAATTTTCACCCCAAAGCTAAGTGGAATGAGGCGACGTAAGTCTCCTATTTGCTTCGACCACTCGATATTTTATAAGCTAGTACTGATATCAACAATTGTTACTTATTGCAAAGTCTACCATATGTGCTCAAGACTGGCGTGAAGTTAGAAGACTTTATTTTTCAAACAGATAGACATAATGTGAAGGGTTTTTGGGAATGGGAAAATGATGGGACTGTTCGCGTTATCGAATTTCCCTCATCATTTCACGAGGATTGTGTCATTGAAATTGTAAAGAGATTGAGTGTGATATTGGATATCGTGTCCCATACTCCTGCTGGCATAAAGTTTTCTGGAGCGTCGAGTGAGTGTCTTATTTCTTTTCTTTACGCTACTGTATTCTAATTGTCTATTACTCACCATAAAGGAACAAAAACAACTGGAGGAGGAAGAGAGCCAGATGCATCTATCCGACCTTTTGGAAAACGTCCGGCGCATGGTGATGGATATGATGGAGCAGTATGACGTATTTTTAATTTTGTTTATTTGGTGTTGGGATTGTGTTGAACTTCTAATATTGGTGATAACATATATTCTTAGAATAAACCCTGGCCCAATCTCATAATAGAGGTCGCTTATGCCCAAGAAGAATGGGATCTCAAAAGAAAAGTGGAAGATTATTGGCTCGCTCCAAATAGAGCTCACGATGCAATCGCTATTAAGCTAAATTATACAGCGGATGAGAATCCTCCAACGGTAATGACGGCAAGTAATGAGATGGTTTAATTTCTATACAGTTTCCTTGACATCATTTAAACGATGCTTATTCTTTAATAGGCTTGGCACTATTGTATAAATAACCGGACAGCAAGTGGTGCATTCGCCCCTGTAATGGTATGTATTATGTACTTTTTAGTACAGGATTATGAATTTAATATTTTCTATATTCAGTATGAATTCGGAACGATTGACCGTCAAGGAAATCCACTTACCATTGGGCGGGGGCAATGTGTAATAAACATCCCCATTGCATGCATTTACGACGAAATGCCAAATAATTTCGTCATTCCCTCCCCTCCCCTACCTAACCATGTTTCTATCGATTTCTTTGATGTTCAGTTTAACATTTTAAATCCCTAAGGTATAATCCTATTTTTCTGTCTTATATCGGGACCTAGTCGAGTTTTATTTCGATACATGTCCTTTTTTAACTGCCATTTGTTCTTGTCTCATACTTCCCATGCAAATGCCGTTATATATATTTACTAGGACTAATACTAAATACAATTAGAAAAAATAATAATGAATAAAGCCTTCGATTTTTTCTATGATGCCCAGATTGACTGTGGATTATTTGTCCATCATACTCACACGTCTCTTCCAGATTTTTTAGACAACCTGATATACCTAGTAAGAATTCACAATGCTCTTTATCTCAGACTCTTGCATTGAACGTAAGTTTGGGAATTTTTTTGTGGGTCCATCTGGGAAAAGTGGCCAACTACAATCAAGGAATTCATGCCTACACGACAAAAAACTTTTGAATATATCCACGTCTTGTATAAGTAATGTCAGACACTCAATTAGAATCGATTCATTGCAAGAATTAAATTCAACTCATTGCCACAATATCCGAACTTAGAAATGAGGATGCCAAGATTCCAGAACTCAAAAAGAAAATTGCTGAGTTTAAATTGGAAAAGGTGAAGCTGGAGCAGATTATTGAGGAGAGTGATGTTAGATTCGAGGAATTAAAGAAAAATAATAAAGATCTTTAGGTTAGGCTTGTAGTAGTGAACGGAATTCTGTGGTAGTGGATGGACAACCACAGAATGACTCACGGAGTGAGGATGCTAACGTATCTAAGGAAGCGATACTAGAGATATTACCAGAGGTACTATATCTGCTGCTGATGATTCCATAGTAAACCAGCTCAAGCAACATGTGCCTGTTTGTAAGGCAGATGATGTGGTATCAAAAGTGTTACCAGAGGTCAACTACAAGTCACCGGAGGAATAAATTCTTGAATGAGGCACATAAGAAAAGTGTTAGTAATAAGATATTAAAGAACTTATTTATAAAGTTTTATATAATTTAATTAATTAGTTATTGAATTATAAGTAAATATATAATTCTGATTTTTTTTGTACTATACTGTAACTTAACACTAGCAATTTATCTATTAATTTATGTCCAATGAAACAAGTTATATTTTTGTAGTCCATCTCATTGGCCTTACAATTTGATCAACACTATTAGTAACAAGAGTAAAAAAAATCTTGTCTTTACAAGTAAAAACCTTCCTGGCAATCTCTATTTCAGCTTAATAACTCTATTATTTTTCAATGGGCCATTAATCTGAATTGCTTCAACTTTTAGCAAGTTATAGAGCTGTGCAGATACATGATAGCCTTTTTTAGAGTGATTAATTCAAGATATTTTATTTATATTTTTTATGTGATCTGGATTAACTAGGATTAAGCTTTATACAAATGAACAGGATTGATTTAAATGAAGTACAACTCTGTATATACATTCAAATTCTTGATATGATTTTTTTGTGTAATTTGCTATGGATTAATTAAAATTAGACTAGAGTTCTTTTTTTATACAATTCTTTTATTATGTAATCTGTTATAATCTCACAACTATCAGAAAGGTCAAAAGTCTTATTTTTATATAGTTTAATTAATCTAAAAAAACTAATATACTATGAAATAACACAACTCTTTAAATATGGATGCAATTACTTTATCAAGAATGACGACAACACATTGGACTATATCAAATTCTTGAATCTTTGTAAACAACACTATATGAGCTCTTGCCTCCCTTACTAACACTTATGAACAAATTTCATCCAAAGTTATAATAAAACTCCCATGTTAACTACCAGTAAAGAAAAAAGTACATTTACCCAAGATTCTTTTGGTTTTGCATACTTACTATAAGTTCAAATACCTCTAAGACTTATTTTTTTTTTCAACTTCTACTACTAGAGAACTCAAAGGAACTGAATAATGAAACCAGATCACTGTTCTCCATTGTTGAAAGAAAAGACCTTAAACTTCTTGGTAAAAGAATTAAAGAGCTGTACAAATATTATAGTATACTATAAAAGCTTACTAAATTATACTTTAATCTGTCTCCATCTAAAGAATATGTCCCAGCATTTTATAAACTTTTACTTTTATATTTAGCAATGTACTTCTCACATAATTCAATAATAATGGACACAAGAGAACTTATCAATATTTTAAAAAAGAAATATAGACATATCTTACTATCAATAGACTATTACAAATATAAAAGACTTCTTTCTAAAAAAATGAACCCACTTCTAGATGAGATAGAAATTCTAATTTCAGCAAATAATAAAAAAGATGCAATGATCTTAATAGCTTAACTAAGGAAAAATTTCAAATTTAGCCTTCCACTGGAACTACTTTAAATCGACTCAGTAGTTTCACAAATGAACAAAGAAAAACTACTAGCCAAAATCAATGAAATAGATGCATCATTAGAGATCAGTACTCTTTTAGACTATAGGAATGAGCAGTACTTGCTCAAAATTTAAAAACTTAATCAAAAATATAAATTTCATACCATTTCTAATAATTGGTTCAAAGCACTACTCCCATTAATGGAGGAGCTGAACAGAATGAATCAGAAAAACCATGTTGATATTTTAAAACAATACTGATTTTTAACCAGCCAAGTGAGCAGAAGCTACTATTTGTTTTATTTTTCTTTTTCAAAACATTTTTCTTGTTTATTTTTGTGACTAAATACAAGAAACCTACCTAAGAGATCTATGGCAAGAACACCTTTATAAAAAGAAAACTAACAAGAAAAAATATCCTCCAAAGATTCCCAAAAGACTCAAGAATCTAGAGAAACAAGAACAAAGAAGTTTTCAATCTTTATATCATCTTTTTGACTTCCCACTTCTTATTTCTCAAACATGTATTCTTTTTTTGGTTTTTCTAGGAAATTTTGCCTATCTCAGTTTGATTCTGAATTTTTTGGTCACACCAGATTTCCTGAAAGATGATTGGTCAAGATCACAAATTGATTGATCACATCAGTTACAAAAAATGTAAACAAGACGCATACTTCTCACGTGTTTCTAATTGCACAACACTAAACCAATAATGTGATTGGTTCTTAAAAAAGTTAAATAGTTTTTAGTTAAAGGAGTAGTATAGGAATATTAGGTAAAGTTGAAGTTGTGAGTAGAAGAGAAGTAACCCCTTTTTGTTCCCTCCTTTTATTTTCTTTTTTTCCCCTATTTTTTCTTAAGGACAGGAAGTAGCAACAAGGTCAAGATCCTATCCCAACCTAATATCAAATTGAAGTATCAATATTTATCTCAAAAATGGTTGGAGAAAGAGATCTTAAAACTATCCACCAGTTGAATAAAGCAATAATTCCAGATACATGGCTTGGAAAAAAATCAACAATAGAAAACCAATATTCTTTCTGGTTAGAAGTCTTCAAGTGTAAAGTTTCAAGAAATACTCTCCTGGAAGTGCCCTTAAACGTTCTTGAATATTGATTACTCTAATAGAAATTAAACAATTTATCTAACCACAGATGATAAAAAGTGGAAAACTATAAGAGGCTTGGAGTTTAAGTTCACTGAAATAACCTTTTCAATTATAGTTAAAATAGATGACAGCTTTTTTTTTTCTTTTCTCTTTGTCAAAAAATTTCTTTTTTTTCCTTTTTCCCCTTGTGTAGTTTCTACAAGAGGGGGGTGACACAATTTGAATTTATGGTCATGACTATAAAGGTGATTTGTAGGCTTTGATCCTATTGAAAGTTTGGGATTTTGATCCCATCCTTAAGGAAACAATATATCACTTTCATAAATTGTATCTAAAGGCTTCGGCTGTTGACAGGTAAGTTGGGTTGAAAAAATTTGTACTTTGCATGTATTCTCATGCATGTAATGGTTCTTTGTGATTTAATAAATAAATAACATCAATCTAATTGTAAAATTTAAAAAAAAAAAATCACTTATATTTAAAGATAGGTCCTTAAATTAAAAGCAAGGACATAATTCAAATGTCTCTTACTATTAAAAAAGTTTTTTTTTAAATATAAGGTTTAAAAAAAACTACCTACAAAGGTTTTTTGCAATTTAGGACACTTGATTCAAGTGTTTTTTGAATTATGTCCCTATT